CTATCTAATAAACCGCCTGAGTTTATAAGCTATATTTTTCTCGACTACTATCTGCCTAAAAAAATATGGAAATTTGACATTCCCTATGTACCCCGGAGATGTACACCTGAAGGTATCTTTTTTTATTGTGTATATCATAGAGATTTTCTATCTAATAAACTGCCTGAGTTTATAAGCTATATTTTTCTCGACTACTATTTGCCTAAAAAAATTTGGAAATTTGACATTCCCTATGTACCCTCGAGTAATTATATCATTAGGATGCTTGTCTTCATATGCTTGTCAGTGCAATTTTTTTTAAGGTTTTCTTGTTCTTATGTATTGATTAAGGAGTTCCCGTTTCGGAGAGGTCTTTCCATGATGATGATCAGAGACCCATTATAAAGAGCTCATTGTCAAGGCTGTCCAATAAAAATATAATTATAAGAACTTTGATTGATATATAATGGCTTGGCAAAAGAGGCTAAATGGTTGTTAATGAGGAAACGTCTGAGCCCCAATACTTTAGGTTTTAAAGCTAGACAGATGCATATTTAGATTTGTAATAATGAGGGAAAGAAATATTATGGATTAGATGATATTAACAAAATGTTACAAACTCCACGCACTGTCGCTTCTGGTCTTAGACATAGTGAATTTGTCCACTTGTCAGCCATCATATCTGTGGCTGTAGCATCATAAGGACATGGTTGTCATCGACTGGCAAAAGAAAAAGGTATCGGCACCTGGATATGCATACATACTGAGTTTTCTTGTATGCTTGAAGCATGTGCATGTATGTTGTGCTTTTGCTTATGTGGGCGCATGAATTAACCACCACTTGGATGCATTTCTAATATAAAATTGCGTCACCAGTTGTGATTTATGGTTGTTGGATTTTGATGTGGAATTATAATGAGATAGTGCGTCAGGAGTTCCTGCAGCAGATAGCACACATCATCTACTTCGACGTGTGAACCTCTTCTTTTTTTTTTTTAGAACTTTCCTCCGGCATGTAAATTTTTTGAGTCCTCAAGTCTGTGTTACACTAGTTCAGTTGCTGTGTTGCACACCTATCTAGATTCATATGTGACAAATGCAAGTTGCAATTTCAAGAGTTAAACGATATTCCTGATGTTATATGTCTGATGATTGCACACATCTGCTCTCTTCCAATTCCAATGAAGATATATTGCCATTAACTTGAACGCTTGACAAATTTGCTATTAAACAAAATGCTATTAGAAAAAAGCAACCTGTTTGTCTAGAGTTGCTAATGAAGAAAATAATGAATTCCCTAATCTTTATTATACTAATAGCTGTTCTTTCTTTGTTCAGCTGTCGCTTTAGCCCTTTGCCAATCTGACCCGGTGCTCAATGATGGACAAACTGGAAGTAGTTCGACGGAGGGCATCATAAGGGGAGTTCAGAAGAGATTCATAGAGAAGTTTGTAGCTGATCACGAAGAGAAAGAGGATGATGACTACAGTGATTAGCTTGAACCTTTTTCCTATGGCAATTTCTGCTACAAAGTACTTAGAAAAGCTTTGTCATGTGTGGTTTGCAACAAGAGGTTCTGAATTAATTACCTGTTAAACTTAATTTTGGATTTCATCCATTCGGAGTCTGTTTGTCAGCCTGTAAAATTTAAGAAACCCTAGCATGCGGAGAGGGTAAAATGGGATTTGCATTGAAGAGGTAGCTTGCATCTCTGGTAACTGGTGCAAACTTGAATTTCATCCTCCACCTTGCATGAAGAGGCTTTCTCTTTCTTCTTTGGTTAGGTTTTGTTTTACATGTGAATGCCTTGAATGCATGTACTTACAAAAGGTTTCTTCAGTACTTAGCTATGTAAACTGCATGAGAACCTCTGTTTGGCTTCTATTTTATCACATGAGATAGTTATTTGTTTACTACAGGTGTGTTCTGTGTCAATGTTGGTTATGAGGACAAAGCATGACTGTCATGACTACAACTGTTTGATGTATTTCTATCTGGCTGCAGATTCTACAACAAATGTTTTCATTGTCTGTTGTCATATGCAATAATATATTTTTCTTCTGGATTTTTTTTTTGTTTGCAAATTGTAGGTGATGCACATGGAATTTGATGTTAGTATCTTACTAGCAGTCAACTTCTTTACTAATTAAGCTAACTAATGCCTTCATAATCTTCTTGTTTGTTCATATATATCTTTTCCTTAACTCTGTCGTTTTCCTTTAATAGCCTCCTCTGTTCTTGTGAACATGTACAATGAGCAGGCGGTGTACCCGAGTTGATCCTGCGCCAGCATGAAATGAACCGGTGTGCAACCCAACGCCAACCTTCAAGCTTATCCTTCACTTACAATGAAAAGCCGGTATCACTAAACACCGTCGACGAAGACGATAGTCGCACGTTCCCATGCCATCGCCCTGCGCTTCCTTCTATAGCACTGCCTGTTTCACGCAGTCACGCCTCCCACCGCCGACGTACCCTTTAGGCTCGTCGTTCGACAGTCATACCGACAGACAGTGGGCCCGGGCTGGGTCCCAAAATATGAGCCACTCTACTCACGGATCATGGATGAGTAAGTCTTAAAAAATAAAGGGCTGTCGACGTCCTCTTGTTTTGCCCTCTTTCACGTGAATGTCACGTGCTAGGGAGGGTAAAAGAGGGAAAAAGCGGTGGGATAGGGGAGAAAAGAAGACCGTTGCCTCCCGGCGCCCAACCTACCTTACACATCGGCAGATGTTCGCATAATTTAATTATCGCGTCGATCTTTTACTCGGGCCACTCAACCACCGAACAGCTGCACGTTTTTTCACACCTTCTCGACCCACCCGTCAATCTTACCCTTCTTGCGATCGGAAAAGAGAGAGGCCCCCCCCGAAGGGCCCCTTCAGTCCGATCACCAGTAAAGTCGTGGTGAGTCAACTAACGCTACAGGACGATGACGCGACACGTACCAGACCGCCACGTGTCTTGACAACTCGACTGACGAGTAGGTTTCACCCGCGGCTCACGTGGGATTCCGAACCACCTGCCTCGGACAACCGTTTGCGAGCCCGAACCAGACCCCCTAATATATATATAATGTTCATAAATAAATAAATAAACAATAGAAAAGACCAATAATACAAAAAAAAAAGGATGATGCTTCTTCGCCTCTACCGTGGGATGAGCGGCTTGTTGGGGTGCCGGCATTGATTTCTTCTTCCTCCCCAAGCCAGCATCAATTACCACAGTAGAAGAAAAAGAAGGAAGAAGAAGAAGAACAAAGAGCTAAAGAAGCCTCCCACTCCAGGTTAAGCTTCTCCCCCAAGTCTTCTTCCTTCCTCCTCTCTCTTGGCTCTTTCTCTCTCTCTCTCTCGCTCTCTATCATTCTCTGTCCCTTTACAGATCCGCCATTAAAGCGCTCACGCCCCTTCCCCACGAGAAAGCAAGCGAGGAGCAACCAACCAAGCAAAGCTGTAGTCCGCCTTGACCTTTCACGCACATCCACGACCACATCCCTCTTCTTTATTAGTCCCCTTCAGCGCTCTGCTTCAAGAACCAAAGAAAGAAAGAGAGCAGAGCAGACCGGAGCAAAGTAGATGATGATGGCGATGATGGTGGAGCGATGCTGCTGCGTTCGAACTCACCGTTTCTTGGCTTTGTTCTTGCTGCCACTGGGGTTCGCATTGTTGGCGTCTTCCAGGGGCGTGGTGGGAATTCTGGACCCGGTGGACTTCCTGGCGCTTCAGGCTATCCGCAAGGGCCTCGAAGACATGCCTGGCTCCGATTTCTTCTCCGACTGGGACTTCACGGCCGACCCCTGTGCTTTTCCGGGCGTGTTCTGCGCTGGGGACCGCGTCATGGCCCTCGCCCTGGGCGACCCCCGTGCCGGCTACCCCGGCCTCCAGGGCAGCCTCGACCCCGCCCTCGGCCGCCTCTCCGCCCTCGCCGAACTCTCCCTCGTTCCCGGCCGCGTCACGGGCCCGGTCCCCGACGAGCTCGCCGGATGCCCCGACCTCCGCTTTCTCGCTCTCAGCAAGAACCTGCTATCCGGCCCCATCCCTGCCGGCCTCGGCGCCCTCCCCCGCCTCCGCACCCTCGATCTTAGCTACAACCAGCTCTCCGGTCCCCTCCCCCCCTCCCTCACCGCCGCTCCGACCCTTTCCAACCTCATCCTCTGCCATAATGAGCTCTCGGGCACCCTCCCGCCTTTCCCGGACGCCGCCTCCCTCCTCCGCCTCGACCTCAAGCACAACCAGCTCTCCGGCCCGGTGCCGTCGTTGCCGCCATCGCTGCAGTACCTCGCCCTCAGCCACAACACCCTCACCGGCCCCGTGGACACCGTGCTTCCGCGCCTCACCCGGCTCATCTTCCTGGACCTCAGCTCCAACCTGCTCGAGGGTCCCATCCCCGGGTCCGTGTTCGAGTTCCCGCTCGCGGCGCTCCAGCTGCAGCGCAACGCCTTCTCCGGGAAAGTGGAGCCGCCGCAGGAGGACGTGGTCATCCCGGTGGTGGACCTGAGCTACAACCGGCTGTGGGGGGCCGTGCCGCCGCAGCTGGCCGCCGTGGGTCGGCTCTACCTCAACAACAACCGGTTCTCCGGGGAGGTGCCGAGCCGCCTGGTGCAGGGGCTCAGCAACGGGATGCAACTGCTCTACCTCCAGCACAACTTCCTGACGGGTATCGAGATAGGGCCCGCGGCTGCAGCCATCCCCGTCGGTGCGTCGCTGTGCCTGCAGTACAATTGCATGGTGCCGCCGTTCGACACGCCCTGCCCACTCAAGGCCGGCACACAGAAGATGCGCCCCGTCTATCAGTGCCCCGACTGGAGAGGCTGATCGCCCACAGCCGCCACTGCCGGAGTGGGCCAAAGAATCAACCAGGGGAGGGATCAAAAGAAACAAAGGTAAAGAAAAAAGAAGTATATATATAAATATATACACAACAATAATATTCTTTTATTAATTTTGGGTTAGGGAGGAAGGAGGAAGAAGAGTTGCTGATATATATTTGAACAGTGGGTGGTAATTTTGGGATGGTTTCTGCTGCTTGATCAAGCTGTTGTTTTGATTGGTTATTTGTCTTCTTAGTTGGTGTGTGCATAAGGTATGAAATTAAGTTGTCATGTAGAGAGAGATCTTATATTGCTGTTGCATGATTTCATGGGTCTCTTGAAGTACATGATCTCTGTTTTATATTCTATCCAGAATTTATAGTTATTCTTTGTTTGGCTTAGGGATGATTCTGACTATTTGTGGGCCAAGTTTCTTTTATATTCTATCCAAAAACCTTCATTTGTATCTATCATAGCATCTTCATTCCACCTAAAACATGTAATACACTGTTTGTAGTTGAGCAGAGTAGCAGACCACTGAAACAACACACTTGTGCAATGTGTGTATGTATATGTATATATATATATATATATATAGCAACTCATAGCTAAGCATTTCTTATTTGCTTTGAAATTAGTCAAAATGTTGATTTGTATGCGCTAATTCCCTTCAGTTTGATGCAACAAATTTACCTAATGTGTATGATACAAATAAGTATAGGACAAGGCTACCTACTTCTTTGTGTTCATGCTACAAAATCTTAGTTCCTGCATGTTTGTCTTCAGAACACCTACTAAAGTTCATGCACTGTATATGGCTGAGCAGACCATGACAACATATATTGTCTATTGTGTATGATCTGTTGTACTGCATATGGTTAAGCAAATCATTGCAACAACTTTGCGCAATGTGTATGACTGCATTGACTATAGAGATCAAGTTTCTCATGTGTTCATGGTACCAAAATCTTGGTTTATACATGTTGTTACTATCTTTTATTCAGGCTGTGAAATTACGGTCCATGCGCTCTATGTTCAAGCAGAACATTGCAACAGTTTCTAATTTGTAATTCTTATGATCACAGTTTCTAACTTGATAAATGTCTCAACTATTTGAGACGGGCTGAATGGACTAATTAATTGATTTTGGTTTGATTTGGTTTGAGAACACTAGATTTCTTCTGACTGGCTTCTGGATTGATTGTATATGTCAAAACCTGAAATGCCTGAATAACTCCTCTGTAGATCATTCAAGAAATGTTTTTTGATTCTTCATAATCATGATCTGTTTGTGTTTTGTTTTGTTCAATTTGGATCAAAATGGTGTTCCCTTGGATTCATTTGTGAATCCACGGGTTGATGTTTGGAATGGTATATATCATGTTGACTACATTGGTATATATCTGTATTATTATACAAAATGATATGTCTTAGATTGAAGACCATATGCGAAGATCATATCTTCGTAGAGTTTATGATGATGTGAATTCCGATATGTTTTCATATAAAACTCAATATAAGTTCATCTTCAAATTTATGGGAAGTACAAAGTAATAATTAGGTGTGTTGTCCCTATCATCTTTTATCTTATTAAATAGATAGTCCCTTGAGAATAGTTTTTATTTGGGCTATGATCGATTCGTGGATCACAAAATCAACAGCGCATATTTAGATAAAAGAAATCTTTAAGCGACCAATTCGTAACTGGGTTCTAATCACCGTGTGTAAGAGTAAGAATCCTCAAGTAAAGGATTTTGGCGTCGATTTGATGTTTATTGAGGGAATTTGTTTTTCGATAACTAGAGGATACGCTCACCGCATGACATGAAATGCTGAGGGTTCCGCTCACCGCATCCCTGAATAATTTCGTCAAGGTTTAATTTTTAGGAAAATTTCTCAAAAACAGTATAAGTTTCTATTTTTTTCCACGTGGCACTCTTTTTATATATTCTCATGTAGTATTCTTTATTTTTTAGTAAACGAGATTACACGTTTGTTTGTCTCGTGCATCATCGCTTTGATCGTTTGTCCTCACCCATCACAAAGTGTATCGGTCACGATGGCAAAGAGATGGTTATTGTAAAGGTCAAGCAAGAGGTAGAGATCAAGGGTGCCAAGCATAATGCTATGGTCATGGATGAAGTGGTGAAGGGCGTCACAATTATTATTGCCATAGAGGAGGGAGGTGAGGGCACGACAGTGGTCGATAGCTTGGAGTATGATGCAGTTAGCGATAGCTTGGAGTATGATGCAGTTAGCGATAGCACGATAGTTGCAGAGCTTGAACTTGAGAAGACTCATGATGCAAAAGGAGAAGACGAGGGAGAAAGGGCCACCATCGATCCCCTTAAAGGCACATAACTATATCTATTTGAAGCCAGCACAATAATGCCATAACCAAAAGTTTATGATCAAAGATATAGATGTTGAACAAGGCAAGCTCTTGAGCAATAATAGCATGAGGGTCAATTGATCCTCATCATCATCCTTATGACAACTCTTACGATGTGAGCAGACAAAAGATAAAGACTTTCTTATTGAGAGGAGGAAAGAGAGAGCCAATGAAAAGAAAAAGAAAAGAAAGGAAGGTGAGGCCAAGAGAAAATAAAGGTGGATGAGATCGGAGGTAACAAGTTGGTACATTGCTAAGTTGAGATGAGGACACCGAGGTGGAGAGAAATGTAAGGTAGGGGCACGACGAGGCAGAGTGGGTGAAGGTGAAGGTAACCACAACGATGGAAAGATCAGTCATAATATCATCTTTTACTATTTAAAAGGCGCTTTGTGGGATTAAAGTGAGAAAATGACATAAAAATTTAGTTTTTTTAAAGAATTTGTCTAATTTTTTTTAATAGGTAAAAGGTAAGCTCACCACAAAACGGTTGATATTGTGGATTTAGCAGGGTTCTAGTCACCGGCAAGTGAGTGTAAGAACGTTGAAATAGAACGATTTGACCCTAAAATATTTTTATTGCTTTGCCTCGTCCTCGAATTGGTATAGGTACGCTCACTGCGTGCCCACCGCAAGCCATCCGCTTCAATTGGTGATGTAATAGGCTTCTAGTCACCGCCATGTGAGAGTAAGAAAATCGAAAAGGAACTATTTCACCCCGAAATTATTATTTTTTGTCCACTTCGATCTCTAGCTAGCACAAGGTAAGCTCATCCGCAGGTCTCTATACCTTTCGTAAATTTTGTGAACCCTTCCTCCGCTCCGGTTCGATCTCCTCCGCCGTTCCCTGGATGCGCTCCCCTCCTCTACCTCCGCCTCCACCTCCACCTCGGCCACAACCAACACACTACCCCCATGCTGATGAAAGTCTCAAAGAAGGTGTCTGTAGCATGCTGTCTTTATTAGTTTATGACTAATAAAGAAGGTGTCTCATCCAACACACCCGATTGTTTATGACTACCCCCATTCAGACAAGGAAGCATCTTTATTAGTTTATGACTAGCCAATGATTCTGTGATTCATACATAGAGATAGAGATGTAAATGATGTGGAGAAACACAGGTATCTCATTCTACCTCATATTAGTCTTTAATGTTCCTCAAGTCTTTAATATAAATGATTCATACTTCTTTGCATGATTCACCTCTCTGTTTATACGTACAAGGAATTAAAGTACTTTTATTTACTCTTATACTAACAAAGAAGTGTTATAATAAATTGACATTTATCCATCAGACACTCAAATTTAAGCTTTTTATCTGTGCATTGGAATGGAGTCTTTGGGATCATCCTGAGAAATCCGCAAATGCATGAGATCAGAGATCAATCAAATGATTGTTAGTGACTAGTTTAGCAAACTGTTGCACATTTTTAATGATGTAGAATGGTAATCCTCAAGTTGCTACAACAACAAGAACAGTATTTAGGGATTAGTAATTCTTAAATCCCATCAAGTGATTATTTTTGAGAAATTAAGCATAATTCTTTGGTCATACAGTTTGAATAAGTTAATATTTGGAGAGGTTTTTTTTTCTAATAGGAAACCTTTTCTTTCAATTCCATCTGCTGCTTGCTGAGCACCCTTCCCCAGAGGACATCATACCCAAATAATTGCTTGGCCTTCACTCCACTACATTATTATTATACTTGTATGGAAATGCATAATAAAGCCAACTGGTGTGAGTTAGAATGTCATCCCATCCCTTGGAGTAGTTAAGCTTTAGCTTGCTTTGCCCAAGGAACAGTAGTGCAATAACACTTGGAAATCTGCCCCTAATGCAGCTAATTGGACAGTAGTATGCATCAAGGAACCTGCGCTGACTGCTGCAGCTCACACATCACAGCTTTCCAGACAGTGGATACACCAAATCAAAAAAAGGGACATTGCAGCTGCAGCAACCCATGTGTGAAGCTGGATTAAAGAAAAGGGAAAGAACTGAACAAAGTCTAGAGAGAGAGAGAGATGATGATGATGGGTGTGATGGGAAAGCTTTAGAGTTAATAAAGAAAAGAGAAGAAAATGAGGTGGGTGTGAAAGCAATGGACTTGCTCCCAGGCCCCTTAACCTCCTCTTCCTCCCACTCTTTTTCAAGATCTCAGCAAAAGGAAGAAGGAAGAGTGTTGAAGAGGTGGTGAGGAATGGGCCTAAGGATCTCCCTGTTCTCCTGCTTCCTTCTCATTGTCCTGCTTCATTCAGCCAGATCTGATGGTACACTCACTCAACCTGTGGTATCTTCTTCTTTCTTCCATATATTTATGAATTATGAGTTTTGATGAGGATGATTGTGAATGACTGTGAAATCACGTTGTTCAATGACTGGTGAGTGAATCAGATTTATTAACTCCAGATTTGAAGGGTATCAAGAATGGGATGAATCTGTTCATGGAAATGACCATGAGATGGATTGTGGACTCCCTTATGAATGTCTAATATGTTAAATGATCCGTGTGGAACAGGAAACAGAAACTTATGGATTATTTTCCATGTCCTAGACTATTTCCATGGGACACGAAAGAAGTAGCTTCATACTGCAAGAGGGTAGCTTGAGTTCTGTGCACCATCTTTATTGATTCAGATCTTTTTGTGACCTTATTCTTGTGATGCTTGTGATCTGTTGGCTTGTTCTTAGCACCCATACGATGAAACGTTTTAGTATTGTTCTTGTGAATGGAGTTTACCCTGGCAGATGGTTATTCTTGGCAACTATTTACTAGATATGCCTCCTTCTGGCTCAGATTGCTCCAATACGGGGAACTCCCTATGCAGGGAAAACATTCATTTGAGTGAGTTTGGCCCATCTATCTCAAATATCTCTTTCATTTTCTTTCCTCCCTTTCTTTTCTCCTTCTAATTCAATCTGACTCAGTTTTCTTGTATTCTTCACATCCCTATTTTAACCTTTCTTTTCTTAAATTCATTTTTTTTGTACTCATAGGCTGTTTAGCGTGAGAACTCACAGTAAGTTTGCTCCTATAAGACCTGCCAACCAGGGTTTTTAGTCATGGTTATATTCTTTCTGCTTGCAAATGTAAGATTGCATGTATTGACCCTCACTAGATCCCCTCATCGTGCAAACCTCATGCACTGGGCCAACCTATGTTGGCTGCTTAAAGATTGCTATTATTGTCTACAATTCACCCATGTAGATAATAGTACTCGACTCTTGTCATTAAGTCTACCACTCATCTCAGTTATCAAGATAAGCGCATCAATCAATTGCTGATTCTATTAACTTCTTTGGGAGCCATAGGTCATTTAGCTGTCTACCAATTGTTTAGGACGCTGTTATTAGATTAGAGGTCTGGAAAACTCCAAAGAAAGCCTTTCATCCCTGCCAGCACCTCAAAAGAATATAAGAAGAAAAATTTCCACTTCTCCACTGGACTCGAATTCTAAAGGGCAAGTAATCTTCCCCTGGTTATGTGTCATCTGCTCATTCCATTTCATGCTAATATAGGTTTTGCCCGATAGGTAAGCCAATTATTTGCTTAATTAATGAAACATTCATATTCATGTTGATGCACATGTGGTAGTATTATGAACATAATCCAGCTCAAGTAAACTAGTTTTTTCTGCTGGAGAACTGGAATGATTGAATATAGGATGGGAACATCAGATGGACCTATAAGAAGATTATGACCAGTAAGGTCTCACAGTCGATAGCATGTCTTAATGCATATATAAACTTTGATGCCTTGTTGTACAAGGTCCAGAGATCCAGGATTACATGACTGGAGTGTGTCTCAGGTTTGGGAAAATGAAATGGAATTTCAAAGTTGTATAGGCTTAAACTGCGAAAGTCATTTAAGAGCTACTGCTGAAGAAGTATTTCCTGGGTAGCTACAGAAGCTAACTAAGAGAGGAAATCTTGTTACCTGTCAGATCGTGTAAGTTGCTTGTTTTTTAATGGTTCTGGTGCACAATTCATTTGCTGCATAGATGTTCGTTATAAGTGACTATATATCTGATCCGTATACATACTTGAGTACTCACATCTTTTTTTCCTAGTTGTATGATAATAAACCAATTTTGTGTGTTTTGCAGGATCTTCTACTTGATTAACATACTTGTATTCATTTGCTTTTGCAAATATTCAATGCTATTCCTCATAGTCCTTGCATTAAGGTCATCATGGTGAAAAACACAGAGAATCTACTTGATTGACGTACTTGTATTCAATTCCTTTTGCAAATTTTCAATTCTCTTCCTCATAGTCCCTGCATTGAGGTCATCATGGTGAAAAACACAGAGAAGAAACAAATAGATTTTTGGAATAATTTCTCATGCAAAAACAGAGAGAAGAAACTTTGAGGCCTCCATAACTTGTAAAGCAGATAGAAGAAACAAGTAGCAAGAAGAAAGCTAGAGTAGAGAAGTTTGAATAAATTGAGAGGAAGGTAAACTGGAAAATAGAAAATGATTCACCATTTTCATGTCAAAGATCAGTAATGAAACCAAGTCAGTTATATAACATGTCCAAAAATCAGTTATATACTAAAGTGATCTTGATGTTAGCCTCCTCCCCCATTCCTATTCCCAGCACCTACCAATCCTCTCTTAATACAAATGTCGGTGGTGCGACATCATCAAATATGATATTCTCGGGATCCTGGTTATAGAAAATGCAAATTGATTCATGACCATTTGGTTTCTTGTAAGAAATGCTTTACTGAGTTTAGTTGTTACAGGTTGGTTGTTGCTTATGCATTTGACACACGTAGCGATGCTGTGGCACAAAGTATGTGGTTTGGCTTCCATGAGCAACCCAATCCTTCTGCTGTTGTCCCTAGTTCAGATATATGCCTTCTTAGTTGTGGCAGCTTCTGTATTTGTTATGGTTACAAGGATGTCTAGAGAACAGTTACATGTGCTGATATGCCTATGATCTGTTTCATCGACAGTGATTCTTTTCTTGTATGTCACGACTTCCATAAGAGCAAACAAATCCAGTAGTATCTAAATCGGAAGAGGAAAAACCATCCTAGTTGAGTCATCTAAGGTTCTCTTGGCAGTCTGCCAATACTGATCCACGAGAGTGGATAAGTTTGGCAGCTGCAACTTAATTGACTGTCATGCTCTTGAAAGAGTCCCTTCTAATATCCTAGTCTGGTCTCGGAAAATTTTGCTTTCTTATACTAGTAAAAGCGGCATAAAAATTAGTTTAATCACATTCTGGTTGTTGTTGTCTGACCTGATTATTGATAATCACATCACTTTGAAACCCTAATCTACAGCAGTTATATAAATTTTCATTAAGCAGGAAGCACTAATAAGGCCACTCTTGTATGAGGGTTGCTTGATATTGCCTTTCATAGATGTATAGCTTGACAATTGCTTGTTTCACCTTAATTCTTAACTTGATAACCTTTCCTAATGCCATGTTAAGTGATGTGTTGCCATCAGAATATGCATCGGTTGATGAAATTGATTCCCTTGCACCTTAATGGTTGTTGAAGCGGGGAACTCCACTTCTCATATCTGATTTAGGTTGTCTAGAGTGACCATTGCGGCTTTAGACACAGTATCAGCATGAATTTGCAGAAACAGTGAGTTCTTTACTAGTGTACCACCATCCCTCAACTATGATCTAATAAGTTTATAGCTCACCAGCATCAGTAATCAAAATATTGTGTTATTTATCAGATTTTCACAGTACTTGTAAATTTCTCTGATTTCTGTACTTTCCATTGGAAAACATCTCATAGTCAATACTTTCTTTGCAGACACAAGCAGTCAGCTTCTTAAAGGGATTAATGACTACAGAGTTTCCCTCAACCTTTCTCAGCTGACAGCAAACCAGAATGCAGATTGCTTAGCAGAACAACTTGCATCGGCATACAAAGGTCAAGACTGCACCAACACGACTGGATCCGACACTGTTCCCGGGACGGAGCAGCAGTTCTCAAACTTCCCTGATTTCCTCAGCAACTGTCACCTGAATGCAACGGTGATTCGGGATGGGTCGATCATGCCAGCTTGCGTGCCAGGATTGGATCCCCAGCTTGTCTTGGCCAACTTCACCGAGTCCCAGTACAACCAAAACCTGAATGATAGTAGCTACGTGGGAATCGGGCTGGCTGATGAAGGCAACTGGGTGGTGGCGGTTCTGACCACAAATACACCTGCCGGAAACTATGGCCCAGCCACAGACACAGGAGCTGGCTCGGTGGTTTCCATCGCTGATCACCGCTGTGTGATGCTGTCGCTGCTGGGCTTCTTCATGGTTTTGATCAGCTAATTAGTTCTTTTCTTGCATGACGATCGAATTGTTCCAAAGAATATGACCTCATTGGAAAGACTTGGAGGTGTTATCTGACGAGATCGTTTTCATCGCAATTCTTTTAGCTGTTATAAAAAAGGGAGAAACCTGATTGATCACATCCTCGTCTACCATTTATGGATGACATGCAGTGCTTTGTTTCTCTGTTCTTCCGTCTGCTCCGAAGGCCACATCTGGTGAAATGAGTTCACATGGTGTGTTGATGTAGACGGAAGGATGGGCGTCGTAAGAAATCTGCACCTAAAGTCCAATCATTTCGGGAGCACAAAGCCGTGGCCTTCTCCCAGGTTCCTCTTGTCTGCCCACGTACCGACGAGACGACACTCTCTTCAATCCCGAGGGTCAATTATTTTGATCGCACCACCACCTTGCCTGCACATATGCAGATCTGCTCCCCTGCTTTCTATTCCTCTGATTCCGAAACCAATAAAATCACTGAATACGTCTTTTTAAGCCCATTTGCCCTGTCCTCTGATTCCCAGCCTCTTCGTGTTCTACCGGAGGATTGAGCAAATTGCATTATAGTGTGAGTTTCCAGCAAGAGATTTCCTTAAAGACTTCCGCTCTGGTTGTAGAAGACCATTAAATTGTTTCCCCTGTTGTTGTTAGCTTCACTGAAACTCGAACATACTTCTCTGTTTCTTTTATGTTGTGGAGAAAATGTTATGGAAAGGAATGGGTGCCCATAGTCTGAGCAGAGACCACCTCTCTCTATCGGCTTTGATGCGGAAAAGGAGTGCAGAGCTTTACGTGGGGACAAGGATATCTACGTTTATCTTCTTAAAACAACAATCCATGGGGACGCAGCCACATGACGCTACTGCCTTCTCCCATCGAGCAGAACAGTGCATGGGAGGAACAAGGGAGAAAACGACGATCGAAGCTTAATGGCCCAGTAGGACACCTGCATGTGGACGCATCTCCTACCCTTTCCACTTTCCGAGAACTCATCCTCTACACGCCTGCTGCTTTGCTCAAATGGCCAATACCTCCTCCTACAGCACACGAATGTTAGACTTTGTTTCTGCAAATCAAGACGAGGTAAGATTTTGATGAGGTCTTGCTAATTTCGTTTAGAACGGGACGTGCATGTCCGGCCTTTTATCTAGCGTACAATTAACGCAATAATTGCATCGAACACATTAGTCCTACTCTCTAAACCCCTCGTCCATATTTGTCATGCGTCATGGCATATAAGGAAGGCCTCCTGCTTCACCCTCTCCTCAGTCCTGCGAACCTGACTCTAATCCCCATGGACTTCTCTTCCCCTTCCTCTTCCTCCGGTGAAGTCGTGATGGCCGCTCTCCTCGGCCTTCCCTCCCGCTCATTCTCGGATCTCACGCGCTCCCTGTCCTCCAACGTCCGCCTTCACCGCCGCCGCCTCGCCTTCCTCCTCCTCTCCCCCATCCACTTCTCCCTCACCCTCTCCTACCTCCACTCCCTCTCCCTCCCCGAGAAGACCCTCCTCCTCGCCCGCCATCTCCTCTCCTCCCTCCAAAACCTCCTCCCCTCCCTGTGTGGGCCCTCCCGCCCCCTGCGTCTCTCTGACCTCGACGCAGCCATCCTCCTCATGGCCATGTGCGACTCCTACAACCCAAACACTACCCACCACTCGAGCTGGCACTCGACGGTCGCCGACAACGTTCTCCGCTCCATCTTAAGCCCCTCGGGGCTCGGCAACGATGCATGGGCCGTCGTCTGCGAGTACGTCGATGCCGCCGTCAAATGCCGGCGGTTGATGGAAGTTCTCTCAGGCAGCAGCGGCTCTAGCGAAAAGGTCGAGGGTGAAGTCGGCGCATCGGTGGCGGCGGTGGTGGCGCTGCCGTCGGTGGAGTGTAGAACCGGAGGGAGGGAGTGCGTCATCTGCAAGGAGGAGATGGAGGCCGGGAGGGACGTCTGCGAGCTGCCGTGTCGGCATCGGTTCCACTGGGGGTGCGTGCTGGGGTGGCTACGGAAGCGGAACACGTGCCCGTGTTGCCGGCACGAGCTGCCGACCGAGGATGTGCTCTGTGAGATGGGGCGGCTATGGAGAGCTGTGACCAGGATGGGCAACCAATGGAGGACATGAGCAGGTCACAGTGTTGGAGGAAGATGTTTGAGTTGACTGTTTTTGGTTTATTGTGCGTGTACACATGTTGGTGATCATGTATTGGAGGGGAATATTAGCTCAAATTGACATCAATAATGGAGCAGCTTACTGGATGTTCTAATCAGCCCATCTTCTTTTCACCCTTCCTGTAGTTGCAAGTATCATCCATTCCATCTTATTTCTTTTCACTGTATCCTCAAACCGGACGGGAAATATTTACTGCAAACCATGAAATCTGCATCCTATGCTTGCAATGCAGTTTCCCATCACAGCAGATGTCTCTTACTCTTCACGATCATAATCTAAAGGATGCTACGATCGATGCTTCTTCGCTTTTCTTAGACTGGCTTGTGCCTACCATTTGTCAACCGATTCAATTCTGATGGGTGATGCATCAAACCTATTTAATTACCCTATGGAAAGGGAAAATAAATAGATCTGACAATCCTCGACAACTTTTACCATCTTTTCCTTTGCTTGTTTACTAGACAAAGGTAATGTTCTCCACATTTGTTCCTTTTCATCTGACTGATAGATTTACTACGATCTACCTTTCTGATTTCTTGTAATTGTGATCTCACAGGATCTTTCTTGATCCTTTTGTTTTTAACACCAATAGACGTTTGTGACCATCAGATATGAACCAAAAAGAGAAAACGAATGGTGCATAATGTAATGAAGAAGTCGGTTGATAGTTGGTGGGAAAAAGCTATAAAAATCTAGTTGATGAAACGAACGATTATACTTTTATTTTGGAATTCTACTATCTACTGATTAAAAAAAAATGATAAATTATGTCACCTCCAATGATGAAGATCTTCTCTTCCACCTTTGGCCTCCTTCCTCCCCAACTTGTTTAGAGCCCCTAAACCTCATCTACAAGGATTCCCCCCTCCTCCTAAAGTCCAATAACAATATGCATGATACCCTCGAGACCGTAGATGTTACCTTCGATAATGAAAGATTATACGGGATTCAGATAGACATGTTGGAGTAGTGGTTAATGAAGATAGTAAGGTTATCGCATACATACAGTGTACAATGAATGCGCTACACCACGAATCTCTCTCATTTTAACTTGTATTCCATATCTCCATCAATCAAGCAATTCGAGTAAGAAAAGTCTCGAGGGTCTCGAGAGTTGTCACAATGTGGATTGACCCATAGAGTGCCCATATTTGAGGATAATAAAGAAGAATAAAAATAAATTATAAATAATGGTATAATAATAATAGCGTAAACAAAGGATAAAGATGATAAGACATAGACAACAAATAAGATGAAAATCGGGTGTAATATCATCTTTTAAAAAATAAAAAATATTCTATGAAAAGCATGTTTAAAAAAATAAAGTTGTTTTAAAAAAATTATTTTAATGAAAAATAATAACAAATGGTAAACATTAGAAAATCACAACCTCTTTTTTGTCATTATTATTTGTACTCTGTCACTAGACCAGAATAGGGACCCATTGCTTTTTCTCAGAGTCGAGTATGGTACTCGGCAGTGGTAGAAGAACATGTAATTGTACTGACTGTCAGCGAAGTCATATAAAAACAAAAACACACACGCTGTATTATACGTCAGAATTGGTAAGTACCTTAATAACACCACACCGTAATTTAATTTTACATTAAAAATAAATCAATAATTACATATCTACAAGCGTTTGATGAATATACTATTATTAGTTTTAAGCATAAGCATCTTACAACAATAATTTAGGATCAACAAGTTAATCTATCTATTATCTAATCTAATCTAATCTAATCTAATCAAACCAAAACAAACCTCCTCAGCTATGGGACTGGAAGTCATTGTTTATGCTGGATCGATCCATCTCAGTATTGTGGATGGATTCGTTGCATGTCTAATACCCAAACCCATTGAGAATTTAATGCTTCCTCACACCTTTAATAGATAATTTTATCTCTAGCAGTTTTGTGCTTTCTCTGGTACTACTCACCTTCTTCTAAAACATCAAGTCTATCATTGAGACTTAATGCCTTCTCACACCTTTAGTAGATAATTTTATCTCCTGCAGCTTTGTGCTTTCTCTGGTGCTACTCACCTTCTTCTTTTCCTTGCATGGGAGGAAGAAGATACATGATTTTTTTTTTCATAAAGGTGTCACCTATATTTTCATCTAATATCCTAAATACTTCTCATCATCATTAATACCTCTTCTTCTTCTTCTATGATGATGATGACGCGATCAAAATGATAGAATTTTATAGTGGGACGAAAGCGATAAGCCTCGTGAAAGCGAGGGAGGCGATCACGATGGATAAAAGTGAAAGAGCCTAATGGAGGGGAAATCAATTAGGATATCATCTAAAAAAAATCTAAAAAGATAATTTTTTTTAGGGAAATGATATATTATTTTAATAGTTATAAATTAATTAAATTGTTAGCATTATCTTTTAACATAACCCCGTCGAGCATTTTTCTCCGACCCACCGCCATTGTTGTTGCAAGTTCAGTTCTGAGTGCGTTTGGATTCATGGAATGGAGCTCAGTGGCGTTCTGATTCACCGTTCTGGAACACTGCAGCAGCCACACAATCTGTCGAAGTGTGTCAAGGAACAGTAGCTCCAGTCTTGACCACGTAGTGGCCATTAACTTCCCACATATAGAGAGAGAGAGAGAGAGAGAGAGAGAGAGAGAGAGAGAGAGAGAGAGAGAGGAGAGGGGGATGGTCACCAGGATCGAATCCACACGCTTGGTTTGCTTCCTCAATTGTTCCGTTTGCTGTCAGTTCTTCCTTACGAGGTCAAGCTTACGAGTGCTCAATACAGCACCCACATTACCTCTAAACAAAAGCTGGAAATGAACAGCGGTGGGCAGGTGTTGGAACTTTTTGGTGCATGGATACTGTTAAGAGACAATCGGAGTAATATGACTCGTGGATCCATGATGACACCGTCCGCAACCTATTTCTGTCGTTCTACGTCTTCTCGGTAGTTCTTCCGGTAAGAAGGTAGGAAGTTTCACAGAGATTCTCAGATTGAATAATCTGCTTCCATCTTTTCACAAACCACATTCACGACTTCGATCCGAGTAAACTCAAAACTCGGATGACTGAGCCTAATTGTCGTTGTTCCTATCTATGTGATACAAGTTGAGCAACAGAGCTAGAGTGAAGTTCATCTAACACCTTGATGTGATTCTTAATACGATGTTTATCCTCTATCAATCATATAAAGCCCCCTCAGGACCACGAGAAGATGGCTGTGCATCATGGCCTGAAGAGCTGTCCCTTCCACGGGATCCTCAACATTGTTCGGATCTTGTGATGCATTCCTGCTCATCTGCACTATCGAAAGAGTAATTGGCAACCCAACACAAGCACAGCCACTAAAGAAAGATATCTTCTTCTCCAGTAGAAAGAAGTTGTGAGCTGAGGCTGAGATCTGTCGAAGTTTGAGCTCGGTGACGTGAGAGAAGGACTACCATATACTTCACGCACAGATAATAGCTGATATATCAGAAGAACCGATCCATGAATATTCTAGAGATTGGTGTATGTCATGACGAGAATCTTGTTGTCCGTAAATGATAGGGATAGGCAACCCGACAAAGCTTGGCCATGAGGTCAGATTCCAATTGCAGAGATATGCGGGGAGTTGTTGACGACTTAATCATGCAAAGGTGTCTCTCCATAGTGACTTCCATGCAGACCTGAACTAGCTTGACAAGTGGAAGACGACATCGGCAATAATGATTGTGTTGGTACCTCAAAGTAGCAATGATCTTATCCACTACCTGCGTCATGCCTTTTTTTCTCTCCCCGCAGCCGATGATTCCAAGAACACAAGGAATTCAGATACCAATCAAGTTGACGTATTAATTGGTTCCACCTTTGATTCTTGAGGAGGATCTGGATCGAGTGCCGAACTACATCTACTCTTTGTGTTTTCTTGAACTGGTCGTTGATGATCTGCTCTAACTTTGGAGAATCATCTGAAGAATCCTTCATTCGACTAAGACATCAAAAAATGGAAGATCAAACTCGATTCTTGTGCCTCATTTGTAGTTCCTCTGTTTATCTTGGTTGTCATCAGTATTTCAACTGTAGCTTGACCTTCTCTTCACAATGAACCTTATGAACATCATTGAATCTTCATTAAATCACAAGGTGCACGAATATGCTAATTTTAGATTCCTTTTAACTTGATTATTTCCTTTGTAAATGAAATTCTTCATTTTAGTACGATGCATATGTACCATATTTATAGTAATTCAGGGTAAACATTCTGTGATGTGGTTGATTCATCATCTCATGTTTGAAAATTGCTATACTATGGAAAGGCTACGTGAGTTTGCCAAGATAATTTGGTGATCTAATGAATGGTTATTTCTATGGCTTTCCACAATATATATGGCCATGGTCATTGGTCTCTAATGTCATTTCAATGTGGAGACCATAAAGGTTGGAACTATGAAGCTGACTTCGAGGTTTCAAATGTGTAATGATGCTGGACACACATGATTACTATATTACATAGAAGAAAATTTCAACTACGTACTAAGAGAATGCTACTAGCCAAAGAGTAGCCAGCTATTGTGGTAATTACACTTCAATATTAATTCCTTTTAATTTGTTGCATGATTCTCGATGCACTTTCTTTGTGTGTGTTACTAATTGAAACAAGTTGGAGTGGTAATTACTTCACAATAGCATGCTTGCTTGAATCAGAGGACACATAAAACTCTGCACTGGCATTTCTTCCCACTTCCAAATTATTGGCTACATGAAGAGCTCAGACATCATGAAAGGAAGAAAAAGCAAAACAAACAAGTAAAAGAAAAGCAGCCATGAGTTGAATGCCAGTGTCGATCACTCTGTTTCTCTCTCTCTCTCTCTCTCTGTGATTCCTTTCAACCTTGCATGATATCTCGCCTCCATGTTGACCTTCATGTGATTTGCTGGGACTGAAGCATTAACCGGTATAATGGCCACGTCGGCAGCGTCGATCACCTTGTTACCAGATTTGGCTTTCTCCAGCTCAACTTCATCGAGTTCTATGATCTCCATGACCTGCCCATCTCCTTGAGTTCCCTTGATGGACACTGGAATGTCAGCTTCCGTCGTCTTCTCCTTGTTCTCCTTGTGCTTGCCCCAGAGAACCGAATAGAGGCCAACAACAATGAGGACTGCGCCAATTATTCTACAAGAGAAATTAGT